GAGCAACCTGTACTTCCCTGTAAAAGTCGAAGTAACCTTTTTGCTATCTTCTCTATGAATGGATAGTTTGCAGTCCGTTGCCAAATTACTCCAGTGGATGGCAAGACTTTCAATATCGCAGAGACTGTTCATTGTGAAATCTTTACAAGTGGTAGTCTCTTTATTTGAGACAACTAATATGTTACCCTTTCCAGGCGGAGTGCCTTGGTTAAAGAAGAAGTTGAGACCCTTTCTAGGTGAAATGCCAGAATTTTGGGGAAACTTGTTATCTTTTTGCTACCCTCAGTGAACGACGGTGTTATGATATATTTTCTCTCTACCTTCAATGAAAGTTGGTAGGCCATCGGCAGTGAACATCGATGATTGTCATCTTTTTGCTACCCTCAGTGAACGTTGGTAGTTCATCGTCCATGAATGGAGGTGCTATGATATATTTTCTCTCTACCTTCAGTGAAAGTTGGTAGGTCACCTTTAGTGAAAGTTGGTGATTGTTATCTTTTTGATACCCTCAGTGAACGTTGGTAGTTCATCGTCAGTGAACGACAGTGCTATGATATATTTTCTCTCCACCTTCAGTGAAAGTTAGTAGGTCACCTTCAGTGAAAGTTGGTGACTGTTACCTTTTTGCTACCCTCAATGAACATTGGTAGTTCATTTTCAGTGAACGATGGTGCTATGATATATTTTCTCTCTACCTTAAGTGAAAGTTGGTAGGTCACCTTCAGTGAAAGTTGGTGATTGTTATCTTTTTGCTACCCTCAGTGAACGTTGGTAGTTCATCGTCAGTGAACGGTGGTGCTATGATATATTTTCTCTCTACCTTCAGTGAAAGTTGGTAGGCCACCTTTAGTGAAAGTTGGTAATTATTATCTTTTTGCTACCCTCAGTGAACGTTGGTAGTTCATCGTCAGTGAATAGCGATGCTTTTAGATTTCTTTTCCTTCTACCTTCAGTGAACGTTGGTAGTTCACCGTCAGTGAACGTCAGTGTTGTTATTTCTTTTCCTTCTACCTTCAGTGAATGTGGGTAGTTTCTCCTTCAGTAGGAGTTGGTGTATCCTTTGACCATTTTACCGTCCTCTATGAGTCAGGTCTTTTGATCCACCAGTGATTTATTTTCCTGGTCGGGTAAAAAATAGGGCATCTTATTCATAAGCATTACATGGCATCTTAGGGCCAAAAATAAGGTTTGTTTTATATTTAAGTATCTTTGATCACATCGACACGAAGATTTTTAACCTTCGTATCTACGGATAGAAGAAACTTAAATAAGGGCAGCTGTTGTACCCCAATTTTTTCCCCTAAGATCCCTTCATCATACCATATTGATTCAATCACAACAAGATCACATTAGGGCTTTTGGTCCTCCTCCCTACCTTTAGATTTGCTCTTTGAGGAATCACCAAACACCTTGACTTGTTTCCTTTTATGGTCATGAATATTTTGTCTTGATTTTTCCTTTTAATTAATAAAATGCAATGTTGGTTTGTCTTGCTTGTTACTAATGTAGGTAAAGGAAATGAGATTTAGTAAGTTACTCCATGGGTTCATGAGTTTATTTCCATGCCCTAGTCAATAAAGATTGAGAAGTTCAAACCTCACCATTGGATTTGTTTTGGAAGAAATGGCATGGCAAGGTTATTTTGGTTCACCATATTTCAAGGTTATCAAATTTGATTCAAAAGTACAAGGGATTGATTGAAGAAGTTGTCATGCTTGGACAAGGATTTGTTCCCATTGGTCACAAGTGCACATTTCTCTCAATTCTCATGATATGGAAGTGGTTTTGGTGGCCATGAGATCTAATTTTCATCCTCAAGAACTTCTATTTGCAAAGCAATGGTGTTGGTACAAGAAGTTTGTTCAAAATTGTCAAAGTTCCTCAAAGAAATTTTTTGATCTAGGAGCTAGGGTTTTGAACTTCAAAGAAGCATATCTTGCTCATCTTTTGGTATCTTTGAGTGATTCCAAAAACATCCTTATCTTCAAAGGGTTATCAACAAATCACTTCAAAAATTTCAAGGATTTTTCATGTGGAAGAAACTTGATGATGAATAAAGATTACAAGTCCTCTAGATGAACCCCCAATTTCTCATGTGTGACTTCAAATGATCATAACTTGGTCAATTTTTATCACCTTGAGCCCATTCGTTTTCCATAATGATCATGAGGATGTGAACTTTATGCCTTCTTTTATGTTCAAAGTGATAAAATGGATGGAAGATGTCTTAAGGATACAAAAGATTATAGGTCAGTTCATGATTTTTTGCAAATTTCAACAATTCATAACTCTCACAATTTTTGGAGATTTTGAATGGTTCATGTTTCAAAATATTATTCAAGAGGTCTATTTCATGGCATCTTTTTTGGTCAAGAGCAAATTTCAAGTGGAAGGCCATGTTTGGATGCAAAACATTATAGGTCACATTTGAAGAAAAACTTGAAATATTTCTAAGTATGGAAAGTCAACTTTTTTCCCAACTTTGTCTCAATGTAACTTTCAGCTCAAGCATCCATTTGATTCCATTCTTTTTCTATTGCAAATCTTGTAACCTCATCTTTCTAAAGCATCAAGAATCATGCGCTAAGACCCCTTGAGCTGAGAATGCCATTGATTTGAACTTGGTAACTTTAAACTGAAGTTTCTTCAAAAGTCAGAATTTGAAATCATTGGTTTAGCTTCTAAACACTTTATTTCTGCGCGTTTTTGCCTCTAAACATGTTTAGTGAACTTCCATAAGTGATTAGCACAACAAAACGCGTATTTTGGATGAGTTTTGATCAAATTAGAAGTCATACTTTTCTTGTTTGCAACTTCACACGATTTCCCTCCAAACATCATCATTTCAGACGCTTGGACATTCCATTTGATTCCCTATAAATAAAGGGTCATCCCCCATTCATTTTCTCAAGCTTAGAGAGCCAAAATCACACTGCCAAACTTGTTTCATAACTCAGAATTCTACAACTTTGAAATCTGTTTTAAAGCCTTTTTCAATCCAATCTTTCCATCAATTTACCTTCCTTGATCTTCCCTGAAGCTAACCATATAATTACATTCAAGAATCGTGCCCTATATTGCTCCATAGAAGTCTAGTTTCAGAGCTCTGCAACTCAACTTCAATAGGTAGATTCTGAAACAACCGGCTGAAAATCATCAAACAATGAAGTCGCCATCGAACGTCTTTTATCCCACATGTAGGGAAAGGTAAACATCGAGAAAACCTATGAAGGGAGAAGTCACGGTCTTGCAACCGCGAGATCGGGTAAGGGAGTCTGTTACGCAAGGGGAAGGTATTAGCACCCCACACGCCCGTAGTACTCTATGGTATCCAGTCTTGTTGTCTATCTTATGGGTGTGTTTAATCTATGCTTACTGTTTATTACTGCTAAAGGGAGAATGCATGCAAAACAAAGGAGAAAAGAATGTAGGGAAAATAAAATTGTGCTCGTTCGGGCCCTACCCCGATGCCTACGTATCCTCTTTTGAGGAATCATAGCAGCCGTAGTTCGGCTCACATGTCTTTGTTTGTTTGTATTTTTTAATGAACAGTATTAATTTCGCCTTCTTCCGCAACTCGACCTTTGGAGACTTACGCGTTAGCACATAAGTGAATTAACATGCTCTTCTGAAAAAGTTTAGAGAAAATGTGCTTGGGTGCACAAAAAGTTTTAATTTGATTGTGTTTTAAATGAACGATAGTAATTTCGCCTTCTGCTGCAACTCAAAGTTTGGAGATTTACGCGTCAGCACATAAGTGAATTATATGCTCTTTTGAAAAGGTTTTGAAAGAAAGGGCCCGAAGGCAAAAAGAATTTTGTGTTGGTTGGTATTTTTGCTTATAGATAACAGCTAGTTAATCACAAGAGAGAGACTTTAGTCATTTCTCCACTTATTCATGAAATAAGTCTTTGAGACTTGAACCATACTAAAGTTTAGAATAAGAGAATAATAAGGTCGAGAAGAAACCCGCTTATCATCTCTCATACTTAACAAATATATGATTCTCGTCAGTAATTATTTTTTAGTATTTTGAAGTTTGTAAAAAAAAAAGGAATTTTTGTTTTAAATGCATATGCAAAAAAAAGGGAAAGATAAGTCAAGGGGAGACTATCCTATTTCTAAACCTAGTGCTATCGTACTTCCCATGATCTCTTGGAAGTGATAAATGCGGAGAGAATGTAGAAAGAAAATATACCAAACAAGTACTAACCCGTAGAGCAAAGCAAAAGCAACGAAACCCGACGATCTTCACGAAAGCTTAACCATTCAAAGAAAAGAGTTAAAAACTGAATGCTCAGAATGAATGTCGAAGCATTATTGATGCGAAAATAAATCGCAATCGAAGTCTCAAGCGCATCTGCACAATAAACCTGCATAGGACTCAAATCTCAACAAGCAAAGGTGAATCACGAATTTCGAATAATCGGATAACCATGAATTAATTCCTAAAATAATAAAATCTAACAAATTTTTATATTTGATTTTATTATTTTTATCATGTAATGAAAGAAGTTCAAGAAAATCTAAACAATCCACAAAAATTAATTAAAAGCAACTACTAAGAGAGTAAATCTAGAAGATGCAAGCCAAAAAGCAGGAGGTGCAGTAGAAATCTGGTGCTAGGCCCAAAACTAAACCATTAACATTTTTGTGCATAAGCCATTTAGCTCTAAAAAGATTATCATGGGCTCAGTGCAGAAGATGGCCCGGTCCAATTATACACCAGCAAAAAATAAAAAAAACTTTCAACATTATTAATTTCTTTTTTTTTTTCGAAAGTCAAAAATAATAAATAAATAAATTAATTAAAAAAAATTGAAAGAGGAATTAAGTTTGAGAAGGTTTTGTGGTTTTTCAACTTCAGCGTAAGAAATTTTCTGCTCCTTCTCTTCTCTCTCAACCATGGCGGCGGCGTCATGATTCTTCTACTCTCTCCTTCTTCTTCATTCAGACGCAAAACGGTGCCGTTAATTTGTTTCTCCTTCCATCGTATCTTAATGCTCTCGATTTCCATACAGTGGGGCGATTTCTTAAGGAGTCTCTTCCTTCATCACCGCCACCAATCTCCTCGAGCCAGATCGACCAAATGGAAAGGGAGTGAAACTTCACTCAGAAATTTCTTAAATCTGGATCGCGATAATCTCTCGGTGGCGAGCTCTACTTCCGCCGCGATGGCAACAGGCGCGACTGAATCTTTAGGTATAGGATTTTATTTCCCTTTTCTTCTTCTCTACCATTTCTTAAGCGTGATTGTTGTTATGGTTCTGTGGAGCAGTTGTGTTGATGATGAAGCAGAAGTTTGAAGAAGTATTGCAGTAGTTGCAGTATGTCAAGAGTTGTTGAGATAAGATTGTTGAAGATGAAAGAATGAGTGTATGTTGAATATGAACACAGATGATGATTGTTTGCAAATTTGATGAAGAGTCCAGAATCGGTGAAGACGTTGCCGTAGATTGAAGAAAGAAAGATATCCCTGACGGATTGAGAGCAAAAGTTCTAAGGATTTTCTTGGTGACGAAGAATGATGAAGATGAAGTTTTTAGAAAGTCCAGACGAATTTTGTTTTTTGGTAAGTTTCTTTTGTAGTCTTTCTCTGAATAAAATAAAAATGCATCTCTATGTGTGAATTTATGAAAAATTGTTGTTGAATCGTTGATGCAGAGAAGCTATAGAATGAAGGTTTGCGGAAGATGATTGAGTCTGCAGAAAGTTGTTGCAATTTTATGAAAATGGAGAGAGAATGGTGGATTGAGATACGAGGAAGATGAAGATGAAGATGAAGAGAGTGAGTGTATTGAAAGATGAAGATGAAGAAGAAGGGAAGAAGGAAGAGGTTTATGGAGACTCTTCTGCAGAATTGCAGAATCAATCTGAATTGGTAAATTTTTTTAATATTTTTATCTATTCTGTAGAGTTAAAAAAAAGAATCTCCATCCTGTAAATCTGAAACTGGATCCTGTTATATAGATTGCTGAGAATTGGTTAGAAGATGGGAGTTGGTTAGGTAGTTAGAATACAGTTACAGAATTATGTTTTGGTTATTGTTATAGAAGTTATTTATTATTCTGTTTGGTGAAGTTTTGGTTAGAAGTTTAGCTTAGAAAAAAAATAGTTTGGAGGGCTATTTAGAAAAAATTTGTTCGACAGTTAGGAAAGTTAAAAATTCTGTATTGTGATCCATATCCCCACATATGCATCTGCATGTTATTGTATCTGTTGAAGGTTTTGCAGTAAACTGGACAAGAAAACTGTGTAGGCCCGATTAGGATCTAAGAAGGTGTATGGATCCAATTTTGACCCCTGTTCGATAATGTATTACTACCCATCAAACCATAAGATGAATCGTCACTTATAACATCTCCTTGTTTTTTTAACAGCCACCTTATTATCATGGGGATACCACAGTGCTCTAGGCTGGTGAAAATTTGTAATATCTTTATTTCTCAAATTCAATTTTATGGTCTGCAGTTTCAGTGCAGGTTACGAGTGAAAAATTTTGACACCGTGAGCAGAGTGTTTTTTTTATATAGTCAGTTAAGACTTGGTTTGGAGTTGTTTGCATAAACTGATATAGGTTAGATATACCAATCTATTTTCTCGCACCTGTTATGTGTAAATGCCTAACATTGCAGCACCCAATTAACACCAAGAACACCCAATTTATCTCTTTTTTCTTCTCAATTAATGGCTGCATTTTGTTTTTACTTTGGCAACTCTTACAGTCTGGCAACACGGGTTTCAGCCATGCATCTGGTGCACGTTGAAACACCTCAGACTTTTTCTCCTTGATGTAACTTGCCACCTTCTCAAACTTTTTAAGCAAATCAAAATGAATGTCAATTTGTATTAAACAGGATTTGTATTGAAGAGTTCCAGTGATAGTTTTCAAGTTCAGTTGAGATAACAAGTGGTCGAGGGTGTGCAACCGTAAACACTTCCAATGCTATGGTTGTTGAGACTTTCTCCGAATTTCATGGTTCAAGTTAGAGTTTAATGAATCGGACTGTTGCGTTTTCTGTTCTTTTTATTGTTATGATATATGCAGGGAAGTTTGATTTTCTTAGGAGTTCCCACGATTTACCCTATAATGTGATGTGAATTATTTTGGTATTGTTAACTGGATCATGAGATGAACTGCTTCGGTTTAGATATTATTATGGATTTTTACTACCGAACTGACTTGGTTTTAGGCATTACCTCAACTGATTTTTACAGTTTGCATCTGATTTTTATGCAGGCGATTGTTTGAAGAATGCAACAAGTTAGTTCACTTGGGGCATGAAGATTGAAGAATACATGAAGATGGAGAGCTCTGGCATGGCATGGACTTGGAAGTTTACCCATGGAATTTTAGCACCTTTAGGACTAAGGAATTTTGTTCAAATGCATTTTTTAACAGTTTTCTTTCTTTGTAGAATATTGGTGTGACGGGATTGTAATGATTTTAGAATGAATGTTTGGTTTGGATGAACTTGATATTTATAGTGTGAATTGTAAATGACCTTGAGCTTGAAATGTCGGGTGATGAATTTTATGGACCGTGTTTAAATGACAAAATCTTGAAACTTTAACTTTAAAATGCTTGAAGACACGAGAGCATCAAATTTTCTTGTAAGGTATTGTTACACTTGAATGAAATTGAATGGAATTGGATAGTATTTTCTTGAACCATGAATGAAAGGGTTTGAATAAATTTTTGAACGCATGTGAACTTGAATCTGGAATAACGATGAACATCTTTGTAATATGGATGAACTCCTACTTGAAACAAGACCTTGCAGTCTGTACTTTACCTTCCAAGAAACTCATATGACCAATACTTAAGGCTCTTTGCCAATTTTCATCCAATCAACCATTTTCGAATATCTTGAATTCAAATCAAACTTCAAATTCAAATCACACTTGCATTCTCAATGAACTCCTAGATTCAATCTTGAATCCAAATCAACTTGTATGATAAGTAATTTGAATGGACAATAAGAACTTGATCCTAAAAAAAACACAACCTCGCCTTTTGTATCATGCCTCATATTCCACGATTCAATCCATAAGTCTCTTATCTCGTCACGGTCCTTCCCTAATTGACGACCTTAAATCATAAAAGATGGACATAAATAATAATGAAATAATATGACCAAGATTAATATGAAACCTTATTTCCCCTGATCTTCAATTACTTGAATATTTATCAACGGATAGAAACCCTGATTTCTAATGAAATTTCCTTTTCTGAACTAATATTTCTTTTCCTTTTTCCATACCATTCTTCAAATGCAACTTGAATGCCTAACACATATTAGATGAAAGTTCGAGGGAGACCTAGAGTTAATTTTTCAAAGCTTACTTTAACCGAAGTCAAAAGGTCTTATCCACGTATCTTGAACTCGGCCCAAGATTATGCATCTCAATGTCTCATAAGATCTTGTAAGCCCATCAACCAGGTATGCCATGTTGAACAAAACCCTGCCTTGAATGCCTTGAACCTTGAATTACTTTGCATGAATTCTTCCATGAGAAGCCTACTTCAATCCAAATCTGCTCGCATAGGAGATAACAAATGACAATGATTCGAAGCCCACATATGCTAGGTCATGCCCTGGAGTTTTTCACCAAAATGACCTACAACCAGTTGTTAATCATAAGATATTAGCCCTATAACTTGGTGGAGAAGTAGTCCATAAATAAGCATGCTCAAAAACCCTAGTTCCATAGTCTTATACACCAGGAAGACCCTGAATAATCAGGCTCATTCAACACATACACCTTAAATCAGTTGTAAACCCTAGCTCCCTAACTGTTGGTCTTTTGAACCTTAGGTGATCCATTTTTTATGAAAAATGCGCGCTATACACATGACCTATTGGAATGATGCAGATGAATGCAAAGTCTAAACCAGAATAAGAGAAATTTAGGAGGGAAAATTTTCAGGGTGGAAGAAGATTAAATACTAAAAGAACCCGAAAATTTGCGCTCCGGAGTCAGTCAGGTATTATTATTTTTGGTTTTCTGTGTTTTATTTTTTTGCTTTCTAGGTTAAAGGGGTTATCGGGGTTAGATGTATGTTTAAATAGGGTTTGACACACAGCTGAATGACTTGGTTATCAAGGAACATCTGTTGGGATTTAGTAACAAACACCTGTAAGAAAGATATTAAAAGATATATGCCTGAAGTCTGTAGCAGACATAAAAAAAGGTATCAGAGATACATATTCGGGGTTGGTAGCAGATACGCAAGAAAGAGACATCAAAAATACATATCCGTAGTCGGTATCAGATACGTAAGAAAGAGATAGAAAAGATACATATCCTTGGTCGGTATCGGATAGCAAAAAAGATATAGAAAAGATACATATCTGTGGTCGGTATCAGATACACAAAAAAGAGATATAAAAAATGCATATCTGTGGTCGGTATCGGATACGTATGAAAAGAGACATCAAAGATACATATCCGTGGTCGGTATCGGATACGTATGAAAGAGACATCAAAGATACATATCCGTGGTCGGTATCGGATACGTATGAAAGAGACATCAAAGATACATATCCATAGTCGATATCGGATACGTAAGAAAGAGATAGAAAAGATACATATCCGTGGTCGGTATCAGATACATACGAAAGAGACATCAAAGATACATATCCTTGGTCGGTATCGGATACGTACGAAAGAGAAATCAAAGATACATATCCGTGGTCAGTATCAGATACGTACGAAAGAGACATCAAAGATACATATCCGTGGTCGGTATCAGATACGTATGAAAGAGACAGACCGAAGAAAGCTCTTACAAAGAAAACACCAATCTAAGGTGAACTTACTGAGGGAAGAGACCAAACAAATGGGACTCCTGACAAATGATACCATTCGATGATGGATTTTAACAAATGATACCAGCCGAAGCGGGATTTTGAAAGATACCAGTCGAAGCCGGATTTTAACAAAGGGTACCAGCCGAAGCGGGATTTTGAAAGATACCAGCCGAAGCGGGATTTTGAAAGATACCAGCCAAAGCAGGATTTTAAAAGATACCAGCCGAAGCGGGATTTTAACAAATGATACCACCCGAAGCGGGATTTTGAAAGATACCAGCCGAAGCGGGATTTTAAAAGATACCAGCCGAAGCGGGATTTTAAAAGATACCAGCCGAAGCGGGATTTTAAAAGATACCAACCGAAACGGGATTTTAACAAATAATACCAGCCGAAGCGGGATTTTGAAAGATACCAGCCGAAGCGGGATTTTAAAAGATACCAGCCGAAGCGGGATTTTGAAAGATAAAGGTATGCATATCTTGTCAGAGTTAGATACGCAAGAGT